TCTTCTCCTACTTCCTTCTTCACATTCTCTTTCTCTTTCTATTGCACTGAATGATGTGCATTTGTCTATTTACATTTTAGAATAATTTAGTGTTCATTAGTTTGCTTAAAAATATCAAGTTTTAAGAGTTCATTTGCAAAAAATCGCCTGAGGATACCATAAGGTTGAAACCAAGGTACTGCATTCAACTGACCTCCTGATTTTTAAAGTACATATATATATATATATATCAAATATGTAGTGCAGTTCAATTTATATTACAATGAATCATTCATACAAAAAGTAGATTAGTAAAGTTAATGATATAAAATGGCGAAATCACTTCACAAACTAAATTTTAAAGGTGCATTAACCTACAAATCACTCGATGAATGTTATGATCTTTGTTTTTAAAAATTATAAACTCTATAAGGTCTTTCTTTAATACATTTTATACCATTAACTTTACTTATCTACTTTTTGTATGAATAATTCATTGTAATATAAATTAAACTGCACCAAATATTTGATTTAAAAGAACTGATCCAACGTGCAAATTTTCAGGATGACAACTGAGACATTACTCTATTTATTGAACAATTTAGTTCATGCAACATTGACTGATAAACTCCTACAACAAAAATGTTCTCAAATTGCCATATTAGTGAAAAAAAACACTCTCTTAAATTTTCAAAAAAATTCAACCTTAGCGTTGCGACTGCACGCTTCAAAAGTTTGTATCCATTAACAATAACATATTTTAAAAAAAAACATATTTTGATTCGCATTTAATTTTTTCGTTTCGGATGCTACCTGAAGTTAACCAAAAACAAAATAATTTCCATGCGTGAAGATGACTGAATGTAAAGTTGAAAGTACTTGCATATTAAAGAAAGACCTTATACAGTTTATAATTTTTAAAGTAATGATCATAACATTCATCAAGTGATTTGTAGGTTAATGCACCTATAAATTTTGTTAGCGAAGGGATTTTACCATTTTAGATCATTAACTTTATTAATCTACTTTTGTATGAATGATTCATTGTAAATATATATATATATATATATATATATATATATATATATATATATATATATATATATATATATATATATATATATATTGTCATTCACAGACAGACTGTTTCACTGTATCACAGCTCATCAGTGTGGGTAAATGTCTAGCTGCTTCTAGATAAGATTGAAACTCAACTTAATTGGCATCAGTCAGGGATTCTACCACTAAGCCATTGGTGCACGGCAGAGATGAAGGTGAATTTAAATGTATTTATTTTTAGATAAACATACAGTGACTGAGAGAACTCAATTTGAACAAGTAATTCCCAAACTTTTTAGGTTGTTACTCCCTTTCGTAACAAGCCACAACCTTAACGACCTCTGCCAATATATGGTCAACTTTTGATTAGATTTTGTTTTCTTTTTTTTACAATAATGTTTATCCTGTACAAAGCCCATGAGTTACTCAAGGTAGAGGTTACAGAGTAAGAGGCCTCACTAAGATGCAAGGGGACACCAGAACTGAAATAGAAGGAAAAGGCTTCAGATGGAATTGGAAAACCCAATCCTAAACAGGAAACAATGGACAAACCTCTACTCCTGTTCAAAAGAATGGGGAGGAGTGTGAACCAGATGATAGGCAGACCTATCTACTCTTATTATGGAAAGGAAAAAAAAGTAAGTAAATAGTAAATAAATTTTCAGAGTTTAGGCAAAGACATTAGAAGTATAAAATTGAAGTAGACTTTAGAAGGAACCAGTAACCAAATCCTAAAAAGAAAATAAGAAATAAACCTGTACTCCTTTTCAAAAGACCAAGGAGGAGTGTGAACTGGTAGATAAATCTACTCCTATTGAGGAAAGATGAATGCTAGCGGTGTTAGGTTATTTCTGGAGCAGCCAACTTGGTAGTGAGACAGTCACACTGGCAGGAGATGTGTGCATCTATAACCGAGATTGAATCTCTGGATTTGCAGCCATAAATATATCCTTCATCATGATAGGGTGCTATTATTTCATGTCCAATGAATATCTTAGTATTTCCAATAATAATTGTTATATATATATATATATATATATATATATATATATATATATATGCGAGCAAATATATGGATATAGATCCGACAGTATGAAGAAAATATACTGAAAAACAAACAAAATCCTAATATGCGATTATGCCGTTTTAATGTTTAATGTCCTGAAGATGGTCTATTAGACCGAAACGTCCGACATTGACATTAAACATTAAAACAGCATAATCGCATATTAAGATTTTTGTTTGTTTTTTCAGTATATTTTTCTTCATATATATATATATATATATATAGAATACACTGTAAGGTGAAGGCAATATGCACTTCAGTTATAATGTATGTGCGGTGATCTTTCCATTACCTCCCCAGGGGATTGGTACGACCCACTTTGGGAATTACTGCTATAAACAAACGACATCTAACAATCTTTGATTTTGTTTACAAAAAGAAGGCTGTCTTGATTTAATAAAAATTGTCTCAAGAATTTTCAGAATAAGACAAACACAATGCATAAAACATATCCTCATGGGATGTCCATGTGCATTGTAAATTTTTAACAAAATTTTCTAAAATTGCAGATTTGTTTTTTGTTGTTGTGCACAGTATTTTTTCAGTTTGTCAATCGAGATTTATATATATATATATATATATATATATATATAAATCCATCAGTTGTCTCTATCACTTTTATCCCTTTATTCTTTTATTTTTAAATTGTTATTTCCTGCAAATGTATTTCCTTCTGTTCATTTTTCTCTTCCCTCTTTTATCATATCTGTTTTTATAGCATTGATTTTATCTTCTAATGGCAATAAGGTCTTTAAATATTAGTATTAAAACTTGTTTAGCTTTTAAAATATGGATTTCCATAAAGCAGAAACGAAAATATCTGAAGATTTTCATTTATCCCCACCTCTCAAAAAACATAATTAAATGTACTTTTCCTTTAAAAAGCGTTCCATGCCAAATGTTTGATGTCTGCATTTAGGAAACCTGTTTGCCACATGTACAGACATTATTTTTAGACTTGATTGTTCTCAGGACGTTGCCTCAAGTTAACTGTGAAAG